TTTAAGAAGTGTTATAGAGACCTGCAATACAAATGTAAATATCAATATCTGTTTTTCTGTTAAACTGCGAGATCTCGTGAGTTGTGTGAAATACGTGGGATGAATGTCTGCTGCAAAAATCAAACGATTTAATTTTGAACTTGAATTTCTTTATTTCGTAGCTCACATCGAAAGATCAATCTTTGGCAGGTTAATATTGCGTTTGAATACCCTTACTTCATCGCAATTGACCATCATCAAATGTGTACAACATTAGAAATGGAAATATCCCCAAATACTTTAGCGTTTTGGGAACCCAAGCAATGTTTGTCACCATTACAACGCTATGACTTTTGTCCTGTTTTTACGTTTAATTTCACGCATAATGCAGGATCTTGCAGTGAAAGAAAAATGGGCAATTCAAGCCATAAATTAAATGTCATCAGCACTGTTACCGGTATTGTATTTCCTTGACTGTTTGCACACTTTGATTAAATATACATATATAGAAGCAGTATTGCCTGCATGAAGTACAGTATTACTGCCCTCTCCATGCTGGAGACAAGTCATTTCAGTCTGGTTGGTAAAATTTAAAACTTGCATGCCCATTCTGGTAACATGCGTTTATGGTCTGCTACAATACAAATTTTGAAAATTTAATTTTACTAAATAATATTATTGGATAAAGTTGAACATCATTCTCCTCTGAAAGCTGACTCAAAGAAAATTAATCAAAATATACAGCAAATTAAAATGGTAAATTTAAATGACTCTTTGTGTGTATTGCCAACATGTTTTGAGAACTTTTGAGCTCTAAGAAAATGATGAAATAGTGGCGCAGATTTCACTGGGATCCTTAAAAGAAATTTATTACATATTGTTACATGTACCTAAAAAAACAATCAAAATCATTCACTGCCAAGTCAGCTACATACAAACAACCATCTAAAGAACTTACTAAAATATCAAACAGCAGTGAAGTATTTATTCATGATTTTTTAAAAATATTCTCAGTAAAATGAAGCAAAGCATCATGGGTATTTTCCAGTTTACAAACTACAAATGACGAGTGGCTTAGCTACTTTAAAATTGTCTTACATTCATTTTCCAACATATATAATGCAAAGTACACCCATCTTCCCTGAGACAAAGACTGAATTGGTAGTTTCTGTCGCTGGACGCAGTAAATATTACCAATAAATATGACCAATCAGAAACCGGTACCAGAAAGAGGCTGCATATCAGTTTCAGTGCGCCAACTTTATTACTGTTCGATTACGTTCTTCTTTTGGAGTTTTCACGAACTCAAGAGTGTAGTTTTTTTATTGTTCTAAACTTTAGCCAGTGTACAATAAGCGGTGTTAGACAAGTTACATACTACAAGACGTTGAGTTATCCATAAGTCTGCAAATTGAACCTGCTTGGTGACGCCTGATAAAATACAGCTCAGTCGTCAAGCCACAGTTTCTGTTACTGCTAAAATGAGCATTTTGGTTAATTGAAATGTTTACATACATAATAGAGGTGTATCAATAGTCAAAATGATTCTTATTTTTATGATCCTGCATAAAATAAATGTAATGTGTATGTGCAGCTGTGCTTCTAATGAAGTAAATATGGTATACAAGTATGTGATAATGGCAAACACCTTATAGTGTACAGGTTCATGTCCAGTGAAGTGAAAAAACGAAGTGTCTGTAAGACTTACCACTCCTGACATAGTTATGACTATCCAGCCTTCAATGGATTTACCACCATATTGTAAAACAGACGGTAAAAACTTGACTCTGGAAAACTTCTCCATTACATTGGGAGAATCTGTTCTCTCCACATTGTAGTTTATCTGGAACACAAACAACAATAATTCTAGAGACATTGTTTATAAGATCAGGCAATCGGGCTACCAGAGAAGTTTAAAAATAAAATTCCAAATTTTGAGGAAGAAATGAAATATATGCATGTGGACAAACACATAGATTTATATGATTTTAACAATTTTCATTAGCTAATTAAATAACTGCATAAATTATTTTTTTATCGCTATAATTTAAAAGCAGCATTTTGCCTATTACTATGCATTTTTCAAAATAGTTTTTGATGAATTTGGCACAAATGGACATCATTTTCTATTGGCTACAAATCTTAAACAGAATTTTGGAAAAAAAATAAAATAAATTATGTGGGTTGTAAATTGTGAATGGTGCCAAGTTGACTTTGACTAATATTTATACATGTGTCACACTATGAGACAAGCATCAATTACTTCAACCCACTGTGATAATTTCCAGCAAACTAGGAAGTATACAGTTGCTCCCACTCAGGTTAATCATTTTTTTTATGTTTTATGATTTACCTTATAGCCAATATGCAGCCATGATAGTGCTATGATTGTCTCTCCTTCAACTTTACTCTCACCGCCACATTTCCAATCATTTATTAAATAATTATTCATTATCCATAATTTACATGTACCACTGCTGTCTGAAGATACAATTCTGCTGCCCGATACATCCCATTTAATACATCGGATGATATCCGTATGGCCAGTACTGAAACTGAAAAAACAAAATGGATACAACTATAAAGAGCCATGGCTAATACATGTATACAGCATTCAAATATTGAATCTGAATCTGAAACTAATTAAGGCAGAAATTTGAATCTCAGAGTATAATCTGAAGTTGAATATGAGGCAAGAATCTGAATCCAAGACTATAATATAAACCTGATGCTGAGGCAAGAATATGAATCTGATTCTGAATCTGGGACTATAGTCTGAATCTGAAACTGGACCTGATGCAAGAATCTGAATCAGAATCTGATTCTGAGGCTATAGTCTGAATCTGAAACTGGATCTGAAGCAAGAATCTGAATACAAGACTATAATATGAATCTGAAACTTAACCTGAGGCAAAAATCTGAATCTGATTCTGAATCTGGGACTATAGTCTGAATCTGAAACTGGACCTGAGGCAATAATCTGATTCAGAATCTGATTCTGAGGCTATAGTCTGAATCTGAAACTGGATCTGAGGCAATAATCTGAATCCGAGCCTATAATATAAATCTGAAATTGGACCTGGAACTGAGGCAAGAATCTGAATACAAGACTATAATATGAATCTTAAACTGGACCTGAGGCAAGAATCTGAATCTGATTCTGAATTAGAGGCTATAGTCTGAATCTGAAACTGGACATACATGTAAGGCAAGAATCTGAATCTGAGACTATAGTCTGAATCTGGAACTGGACCTGATGTAAGAATCTGAATCTCAGAATATAATCTGAAACTGAATCAGAAACCATAATCTACATCTGTAACTGGATCCAAGGCAAGAATCCTTTTACTAAGGCAGAAATTTGAATATGGCTCTTGCATTAGATTTGTAACTTACCTATGTACTTCCCATGGTCTGTCTGGATCTACAATATGAATTTTGCCTCCCTGTGATTCACCATCATTCACACAGCTCAGCTTACATCCACTGGCCCCTGAGAAGGCTATTATATTACGACAAGACCATGAACAAGCAGGATCAATCGTCCACTTCCTGGTCCTATAGAATAAATAATCAAATTAGTACAGAGTATAGATTTTTATCAAATGACCGAGTAACTAAAAACACCAAGTAACACAACAACTATCAACCAATGGAACACTGAATATTTAATCACTAAAACAAGCTATAATTTCCTCTTTTATTAATTTCAAATTAACTGGAAGGAATATATATTCCTGAACGGATGGAAACGTGACTCCCTTCTGTGGAACCTCATCGCTTTCTGTATGTACTGTATTTGCTATATTAAAAGTGCACCTTCAATAGAAGCGCATAAATTAAAAATTACATAAGCTGTATACTGAATCATATAAATATATAACTTATTTTGGTCTTAGAAAATTCTCTGCAATTAACTTAAGTGTATGCGCTACCCACCACTATTAGAGAAAATACGGTATATTCAACTCTAGCAAAACACAACATCATTCCCAGTAACATAGAATTGCATATAAAATACCAAGAAGCTTTATTGAGGTTCTGTGACTATAATTATATATCAAGTATTTGCATGAATTGCATCCCATTTGATTGTTAGCATTCTTCAAATGCACATGGATTCTCAAAGATGCACCACTGTTCAGAAGTTCTATGGGATGTACTGGTGAACCCTCAAACATGTCACATTCATGTTCATAACATCATATGCAAGCAATTATAATATACAACAGTGATCTGCCCAAGAAAACAGCATAGCATAATAACTATTTTGCATAACATTACTCTTGATGCAATAAACCCATTCTCTACTTCTTCATAACTATATATAAATTTCAATAAGAGATGAAATCAGCCAACCAATCAAAAAGTGCAGTGTGCAATGATGTCATTTGAAACCTCCCAATGTTATTAAATCAGATAGAAGTCTCTTGTCATGGTTTGAATGGTAAAATGGCAGTGTATTTGCCAGTAACTTGTCATCCTGTCAATTCGACAGACAACATTTAATAATTTTTTCTGTTTTTTCCTTAGTTCTTTGTAACAATTTGTCAAATATAATGTTCTAATTCAATCTTTTACCATATACCATACAAAACAGAAAAATGTTACACATACACTATATAAAATCTCTCTATAGTATATAGATATTTGTAGTGTATTTCAAAGATGGGTCGTCATTGACAGAAGGATCCCAGAACACGACTTGCATTTGGGTACCAAACTGCAGCATTGTAATACTATTGAGCAACAAGAATGTGTTTGAACATCGCTGTTACAATCCTATGCCATTTGACCGACAGGTCACAAAACTGGCCCAACCATGGCAAATTTTATTGTTTTATGATAATTCCTTTTACTGATATGAATTAATTTGTACAATTCTGGTTCTTAATATAACAATTTGGCCACAGAACCACCAATTTTTCAAATTCATTCTTGAAAGGAATGCTCATATACAACAAGACAAATGCTAGGCCTGGGCCAGTCTATTGCCAAGTTTATCCCCCCCCCCAAAAAATGCCCTGTACTTTTTGACCCCTCAAAAACTCAATGAAGCCCTTTTTAGTATCTGCATTACTCTTCCCTGATATCTGTTTTAGTGGGAAGCACAAAATGAACTCTTTTCCTGTTCTATACATAAATGTCCCGCGATTAGCCTCATAACTGGCCCCATATGCACCGAGCTTGGGGTGGGTCGGGGCATGGAGATACCTCCATGGTCGGGGTTCACATTGATTGGCGTACTATTATTATGACAAATGTCAGTAGAACACGAGTTTAGTTGACTGGTGATTACTAAATCAATAACCATAGACTTACCACGCATTGGGGTCACCTTTTGGCCATTCACTTGCAAACACTAATTCCATAATTTTAGCCAACACGTTGTATGTTATTAATAATTTGCGGATTTTACAAACAAGTAAACAGAGGTCATGGAAGCCGCCATTGCTGAAATTATTTGCATTGTGGGAATGTGGGAGGACGCCCTCACGCTCACATACCGTCTGTGGTGGCGTACATACTTTCTCACTTTTCATGAAATCACCGCATTCTATAACAAATATTACTATGGGTGTCCCGATTCTGATTGACTTTTTCTTCAAAGTGATACGTTAAGTACAAAGCTAGAATATTTTAGAATATACGAACACACTGGAATACGCGGCCTTTTTTTCAGTGTATACATGTACTAGTATAATCAAAGTAAAAATGGACTGTATGTGTGACTCGAAGCGACGCCCGCATACGGCATCAAATCACCTAGCCACAGGTTACATCACACTTCACTCGGCAACATAAATAGATTATTATGATTGTAAATGAAACTTTCATTTTATTTTCTGTAAAAACGTAAAATGACGCTTTTATTTCCTGTAACCTGTACCAGCTACCCCCTGCCCCATCCTAATAACAGTAAATATTACTGACAAACTGAATTATTGTAAACTTGTAACAGTTACTGCTAACATGAGAAATATTTGACTGTACATTATTCATTTCTATATTGGGCAGCAGACTTGACTAGTTAATTTCTACTTTTCTGATATTTTACATTTTCTACCGTATGAAGTTTATAAAGTGTGTTTATTTTTGTTGTAATTTACATGACCAACATTTTTTTTCCATATGAAGTATATAAAAGTGCATTTATTTTTCGTTGTATTTTGTGTTCATTTTTTATATGATATTAATAATGAGAGAAATGGAACATTTCCGGAAATAAAACAATTGAAAACACGACAAATTAAGCATGTACTACGGTGGGTGACTCAAACCGACTCTGTGTTTACTAAACTAAAATATATTTGTGTGTCTAATGCCACGCCCACTCGTACCC